AAAAAAAAAAGGGGGGGGGGGGGTGCTCCAGGACCCAAACTGCCATGGGGCTGCACGCTGGCTGCCGGAGGGGCTGTCCCGGCTCGGCAGGCAGCATCCCCCGTCCTCCCTTCACAGGGAAGCCCCTCAGGGCGTCTCCAGCGCCGGGGGCAGGCCTTCCCTCCCCGGCAGCAGCGCTTCGCTCTCCTCCTCCCTCCTGAGGAGCCGCGGTTCTCCTCAGGGCTGCCACCTGGGGGGGGGAGCTCTGCGGGCCGGCCGAGGCTCAGCGACTGCCGCTTTCCGCCATTTCTCCTCAGAGCTCTCCCCGCCCCTTCCCGCCCGGAGACCCTCGGGAGCCCCGCCCCCCGCCCCGCCCTCCCGCAGCAACGCCTCTCTTCCCCCGCCCCCGTCGCTAAGGCCGTCACACGCCTCACCACGCCCCGCCGGGCCGGCAGGGAGTCGAGGGGAACCCGATTCTCATTTCCCTCTGCCGAGCGCGGGGCGGGGGCGGTGCTACGCTCGGCGCTCGCTTGCTTAGGCCTGCGACGCCCTCCGCTGAGGGAGGGGCGCGAGGGCGATGCTCGTTGCCGCCGCCGCCGCCGCCGCCTGAGCGTCCCCGTCCCGCCCCGCGGTGGTGGGCATGGGGCTGGGCTCCAGCTCCCAGGTCCCCGACGGCGGCGCCGAGGGCTTCCACGTACACGGGGTGAGGCGGCGGGCGGTCGTTTCGCGGGGGAAGAGAGCGGGAGGGCCGTGAGGGGTGGCGGGCGCTGAGGCGGGGTCCCGCTTCTCCCCCCCTCCCCCCCCGCCGCCTGTGGTGGCTGAGGGAGACCGAGCCCGGTACGGGAGAGGGCGCTGGGCTCGGGGCGGCGGGCTGCCTGGCCACCCACCTGTGTGGGGTTTTTTTCCCAGGGAACTGCCACGACGGCAGGGGAGGAGCGGCCGCACCGCTCCCGGTAGGCAGCGGGTGGCCGCCCCGGCGGCTTCGGCGGGCTCGGAGCTTCCACCTGCGACGTGTCGGCTGGCGGACGGCCGAGGGGAGCCCTGTGTGCTGCTCTCGAGGAATTTGAAATAGCTTGAGAGTAGTAGAGCCCTCCCTGCTCCCCTCCAAACTCCCCAAACTTGGCTGGTTTCTCTGCCGATCTTTACAGCATCTGGGCTGGGGTTAATTCCTCTCCAGACTCTGTTTTCCTGAGGGGCCGCTGCTCACAGGCGCTGTATGTAGATGCTGATCTGTTGTAGCTCCTCTGTCTGGCAAATCGCCTGGACGTACACAGGTTTAAGTGCGTATCTTGGAGCTTAAAGATAGGCGGGGGTATTGCTGATGACAGCGGTTGCGTAAGTTTATCATTGCATTTAGTTGGTGGTCTTCCTCCCCGAAATAAGAGTGGGGCGTTGTTGCCACATGCTCCTTTCCACTTCATCAGCAGTTTGTGTTTCTCAATATCACAAGATGTGTTTAGGGTACCCGTGTTGTTATGTAATCTGCTTTTGTCAGTCTCCTTAACTGAGTTAACTCCATCAGAAATGGCTGTTGGTCACGAAAAGCTTCCTCCTTTTATGGTAAGTGCAGGATACTGCTCAGTTTTCTGTACTGGAGAATGATTTTGGTGACCTACAGCGTGCAGGAGACAAAGTAATTTCTTTTTCCTCCAGGGAATTCATGCAACTTTTGATATGGTGTCATTTTGAAAACCAAATACTGCAGGATTTTTTGCAGCTTACAGCTTTGTGTGGGAATCTGTATGGCTTTTAGACATCTGAACAACAATTTCATGAGCTCCGTAATAACTTCCATGTACCTCTTTTTGCCTGCATTTTCATCTTTGACATTGTGTTACGTGATAGTTTCATTGTAAGGCTTCTTGCACCTTATGTAGCATTTAGATGTAAACTTTTTTAACCTTTTTAACTTTTGGTTTGGTATAAGCTGGCCGTTTGCTTTTGGTGCAGTTTAGGGTTCTGATGAAAGTTAATACTTCCTACTCCAATTGTGGTTACAGTGGTCAGTCTTGACTGTTTAATAATAAAGCATGATTTTTTTTTTTGCTTTAAAAGCTTTTGCTGAAGTATTTTTTATAACTTGTATAGACAGTTATGCCAGCAAAAGCCCCCAAATCAATACAACTTTATTTAAAAAAAAAAATATATATAGCAGTTTTAACTTTGCTAGCAATGAACTTCTTAGTTTAGATGATGTGTGGATTGTAACCTAGCACTTAAATTGTGGGGTGGCTTTCAGGAGTCAATTATATTGCAGGTTAAGGGCTGTACTGCTGAGTTAAAAAAACCTAAAGTTAAAAGCAGTTCAAACTGTTAGCACGTTTGCAGTGGTTCCCTTAATATCATGTTGCTTTGTTAGTAAACTTTGAAGTGGGTATACTCTCATACACTCTGCATGTATCAAGTTCTGTGTAACTTTTGGTGGGTTTTATCCTGTTGTGAATGCATTTTAATAGGTATTCTCTATATTTCTTTATTACATCTGTTTTACGCTAGCTTGGTTGTAATGAAATTGAGATGTTGCAACTCTTATTTCTTATGAATCTTTTGTAACTGATGGCAATCTTCTTGACCAGTACTTGTGGTTAGCCATGCGTTTGTAGCATACTCTTTTAAGCGTTCCTATTCTAATATGCTGTAAATTCTGGGAACCTAGCTGTAAAGTGTGCTTATGTAAAAAATGGCTGTGATGTAGTTCGGGTCTCTTGATGTGCTCAGGCTACTAGCAGCATGGAAGAAAATCTTGCAGCAGCACTTTGAAAACTAAGCCCTTCTCCAAAGTCTTCAGTATTTAATAATTCCATGCTGTGCACTCTGAATCACAATACTTGTGTATTGTGTGGGGTTCAAACCCTGTTTTTTACAGCATAATTTGGACACCTGTTGTTCATAGCCTTATAAAAATAAGTTCACAATTGTGGACTGCTTCCCAAGGTCTGTCATTTGGTATCTCATCTCTGGCTCAACTCAAAAGTAAACATTGAATCAAGTGTAAAGGTTAACACTGTCACCTAATGTAACTAGAGATCAATGTTATAATAAAAACAAAATGTATGTTTTGCAGGTTCAAGAAAACTCCCCAGCTCAACAAGGAGGACTGGAACCTTTCTTTGATTTCATCATTGCCATAGGACACACTAGGCTTGTAAGCTTCAAATGATTTTATTGTTTGGTTTTTTTTTTTCCCCTGCATGAAATATGGGTATTGTAGTGATGAAGGGTAGAAGCCAAAGCTGTCACAGGTAAAGAAAGCTTTTCATATTGGACATTGCATATGGCATTAAAAAGATAAAGTAAAACTTGGTGGTTTTCAAAGTCTCTTCTCTGGCTGGATCCAAATTTGAGGAGTCTTACTTACGCCTTTAGTCACCTTAACTTCTTAACAGATTAACACAATGTTTATGATATTACTCATTCATGCATATTTTCTGCCACAAGGTGGATATTGAACTGGGGAGTCAATGGTAAGAGCTCAACATTTGTTTAAACAAACCTGTTTCAACATTTGATAAAACATGAAAAAGGAGGACTGGGATCAGAGGCATGAAGTAAAATGTTGCTGCTTATTGTTAGACCACATAGTTGAGATCTAATATTGCTGATAGTATTTAATAGCAGTTACGAAGAACAGGAATGTAAGTGATGTAACGGAGTGATAGTAAGTATTTATGTAAAGGGACATGAGCTGACAGTACTGACTTCTTTCTAATAAAAGAAAATTGAACTGCTAGGACTGATTGTGAAACACAGAGCATAAACTTTGATGGTTTGGGGTCTTTGTATTCAAATTCCACTACAGGTGTGACATCTGTGTTACAGGTGCAACTAGAAATAATGTTAATCATATATCTCTTTCTGTGCTCTACAGAATAAAGAAAACAACATGTTGAAAGATCTGCTGAAGGCAAATGCTGAAAAAGCAGTGAAGCTGGAGGTGTATAATATCAAAACAATGAAAATAAGAGAGGTGGAGGTGATACCCAGTAACATGTGGGGAGGACAAGGTCTTCTTGGAGCCAGCGTGAGGTTCTGCAGTTTCCAGGGAGCCAATGAACATGTGTGGCATGTTTTGGTGAGACAGAATTCTTTGGTGGCTTGTTAGTGTTCATACAACCTTGTTTTAAGGTGTAATGTTTAGAAGTAACTTTTACGTAGAAGTACAATGCTGAAATCACACAGAAGAATGCAACACAGTCTTGAAGGTTTGTCTGAGCTACTTGAAGAGGGACAAGTAGTGGATGACTTTTAGTGTTGCCTGTCACTATGAAGAAAAATAACTCCATCCCAACTGGACTAAATAGTGTGTGATGAGGAGGTTTTTTCATCTTATGTTGAAGAATCAATGGCAAAAGCAAAAAGATTCTGGCCTGATTGGTGTCTCTCTGTTGGCTAAACTTCATTAAATTAATAATAATGTTTCAAAAAGCACCAAAAATTATTTTAAAATTAAGAGGGAGAGCTGAAAGAGTAGAACCGAATAGAAAAGACTGTTTGTTACATTTCTGGTTGTTTAAATAAATGTAACTTCTCAACATCTTCAGAGTATCTCATTTTGAATGGGTAGCATTCTGGTCTTTCTTATTCAGCATGTTTTATAGGATGTCACACCTAGATGTAGAGTGTTCAAGGACTTCTGTTTTGTCCCATAAACAAAACATTCTTTCCTTCTATTGTTTCTGGAGTTAGCTTTGCTTTTTGATCTTGGCGTAGTTTATCCTGCTCCGAGTACAGAAGACACATATCATTCTTTTACAGGATGTTGAACCTGCATCTCCTGCAGCTCTAGCTGGTCTCCAGCCATACACTGACTACATTGTTGGATCTGATCAGATTCTTCAGGAGGTACAGTGCATTTTCCTTCAAGCAGTAATTGAATGTACATCAAGCGTATGGGGATAGTGTTTGGTGATTTGGGGAGATTGATGTTTACGACAGATGCTTTACAGCTGAGGTAAACATTTATCTTTTTTTAATGTGACAATAAAAAAAGAGTTTCCCCTAAAGATCAAACTACACGAGAGAGTTTTAGTCTGTCTCTGGGTTTTTTAATATCTCACGTTGAAGTAACTTCATAAAATGCTAACTTGCTTCCAGCTCCTTGTCTTGCACATTTGAGCTTAATAACTACTACTTTCTTTTTTTTTCTTAGTCAGAGGATTTCTTTTCACTGATTGAATCCCATGAGGGGAAGCCGCTGAAGCTGATGGTTTATAACACTGAAGCAGATTCCATTCGAGAGGTAGTTGTGACTCCCAATGGAGCCTGGGGTGGAGAAGGAAGGTACTGATCTCCGGACAGTCACTGGCTGATGACAGGTTATATACTCACTGTAAATGAGCTCCTGTTAAGAGTATTATTACTAATGATTACAGCTTGTTGTTTTCAAGTTAAGCTTTGTTTTCTTACACTTGTCACACAAAACTGTTCATCTTCCCATAAAAAAACTAGCTTAGAACTAGGAATTAGACATGTTCTGGACCTAATCCTGTTTGAGTTGAAACCAATGGCAAAACCCGTGTTGACTTCCCCGGTAGCAGATTCACTAGCTACATTCTTATAGTCAAACATTCAGTTACAGCAAGAACAAAATCCACATCAGGTCAGATTATATATTTTGTAAAGATATAAAAATAATCAACTGAAAGCTAAGCTACGTATGTCTAAATGTCAATTGCAGAGTGCTCCTTGAGTACTATAAGTAAGTGAAATGATTCTTGCAGGTAGGTATATCTTGCTATAGATTATAAAGACTCAAACTCTTTTTGTTTTTATAGACTCAAAATTTAAAACGCTTACTAGCTTTGTAAGAACACCTTTTTTTCAAGTTTTGTGTTACTTTTCTTATACAGTTTAGGATGTGGTATTGGATATGGCTATTTGCACAGAATTCCAACACAGTCTATAATATCGAAGAAGAAGCCAGAAAGCAAACCACCTTCACCCCTACCAGAAGCTGGAACTCCTGTACCATCTGCTAATGGTTACACAGAGGTATGTAAGAAGTAAGTTCATACCTCTGGCACGTTCTCTGGAGTTTCAAAATTTTCTACTTGTTGGAACATTCATAAAACAGTATATTTGAGTACAACATACAATATTGCTTGACTGAAATGGAGTTAGGTGAAGGGAGAGTGAGAGCTGATGATGCTGAGCAGATGACAGATCGCCAGTGTTGGCTGATATTTTCATCCTGTTTTGAAGACTTGCATACTGCGGCTTTATCAGTCAATAAGAATCACATTAGAAGAATACCCCGTTCACTAGGAAATAAAATATGCCTACAAGAACTAATTAATGGACTGTTCTTCTAAGAACATACTGCCTTTAAAAGGCTACATTGAAACATGTCCTAATCAGTGGCTTGACTTTGTTTCAGCATCATAGATTCTCTCTGAATTGGTGTACTTGGAGACTGAGGCAGAATGCTTTCATAGGAAGGTCATCTTCAGGTGAAGCTTTCAATATAAAAAGATGCTTTTCTTTCTTACTGTGTCATTTCAGACTCTGTTATTGGCACCTACTTCTCAGAGTGACAACTCTGAAATAGTTATGAACTTGGATCATTCCACAGATCAAGAAATGAGTGGTTATTCACCAGAAAGCTCCCTTTCTCCTCCTCCTCCTCTCCAGAGAGTCATGGATCCAGGTATATTTTCTTAGGTGCTTTTTTTCAGCAATTCTTTAGAGGACTACTAAGTAGACTAATAAGCTCTTAAACAAGTTTGAGACTTAAGTGCAGCACTATGAGCACTGGTGGTTGTTTTCCTTGAAGTTTTTGACTTCAGTGGATTTCAGAGCTGTAGAATTTGGGTACTGTGAGCCTGACTGAGGTTAACATTCTGTAGAAGTCTTTCCACTAATGTCAGCTAACAGTGAGGTTAAATTTATTTGCATTTAGTGGGGAGGGGACTTCACTGACTTAAATCTGGATATAACAAGTCTCTGAATCTAGAATTCTGTGTTATATAAAACAGTACTCTAATACTTGCTTTCTCATTCAGGATTTCTAGACATGTCTGGTATTTCATTTCCTGAACTCACTAACTTCACAAAAGTATCCAACGTGTCTTCCTCTGCCTCCTTCAACATGCCAGCAGCAGATGCTTTAGTAGGCACTGAAAAGTTAATGTTGAACAATGACGGTCCTGCTTATTTTGGTAAGTGTATTCAAGATTTCCTTTAGGCCTCTGACCTAATTTCTGGAACGGCACCAACTCATGCCTGCTCAACAGTGTCATGCTTTCTGGAAATAAGCCAATTTTAAGAAAAAAACAGAAAGGGGATTGGCTAAAATTAGATGGAAAAAGTAGCAGAAATCAGGTATAGAAGTGGACAAAAACTAATAGGCTTTTTTTTAAGATTATAGAATGTGTGTCTTTTTCTTTAAATGAAAATGTTGGTGATTCAAATTAAACTGATCTTAAAAGTAGGTATTTCTAAAATTGGTGTAAATTAATTTCTGTACCACAGGCTTATCTTCACAGTTGTAAAGTGAAAACAAAATTGCAGTCATCTTAATAGTGACTTTTCTATTTAAAGAAAAAAAATAATCTTCACATTATGGATGCCTTTCCCTTTTAAAAGGTGGGGTGACTAAGAGCTGTAACACAAAATAAAACATCTCTAGCATAAGAATACAGCAGAGCAAATCGTTCATGGTTTCTTAAAAACATGCTTGCACCATCAAGTTGTCTGAATTTGGGGAGAACTGAGTGAACACAGCCCATGTATTTAACAGCTGTGAATCTGGTTATGTGCCTGTACGAGCTGATTGTTCTAGATGCATGGTAACCAGAGGCACTGTCTGTTAGCCTGACAGTTTTTTGTTTTTTTACAAACTACTTCCGTTTCCCAGAAAATGCCACAGCTTTGGGCCCTGAAGATGTAACCATGCATTCTGAAGGCTCAGTCAAGCAGCCTGAGTTGGATGACCTACTGTCTTCAATTCCATCTTTACCTTCTTTTGCTCTTCCTAATGAAATTTCTTCAAAAACAACACTAGGAACTGATCCCAATAACCAAGAAACAAAGCTGCTCTTAAACAGTATTGAGAGCTCGTTATCCACTACTCCGGTGAAACCAAATGATGAAGCAGCATGTGAACAGAAAGAAGAAGCAGCTGCACAAGATCATGAGTGAAATGGATGCTGCTTTTGTTTACAGACCGCCATATGGTGTAATACTACAGCTTGGAATATTTTTCTGATCTTGAAAGAATTACAGTTATTCTATTTTGTTAGTGTAGACAATATTATAAAAGAAATCATATGAAATACATATCCTATTGTCTTTTCCAGTCATGGTTTAATGGATTGATCTGTGTTCAAACTTTGAATGCTGTCCAAAATCACCAAATTAATGGAGAAATTAATGCAGAAACAAGTTGGAGACTGGCAAAATGTCAAGTTCCTGAATTCACGTTTGTCTACAACTGCTCCTGAATGTATTTATGAAGGCACTCTGCCTGAACAGTGATGCTTAATGATGATTTTCTCAGTATGATTGATGGCATTAAAAAAAAAAATAATTATGGTTTTGACTTGTTAGAAAGCTTTTCTAACGGTACACCTCAATTAGACAGTTCTTGTGACTTTCAAGGCATTTCCTACCCCAAGATGTCTTTATTTCTACTTACTACTATGCCAACTGTTCTTTTTCTTGGTTTAGAGTCCTTTCTCTGTAACAGTTATTCATGTACCTTCTCTACAACTATTTTTGCAGGAAAGGAAGTACCACATGGTTTGAAGTTGCAGCATATAGATAGGACAAAATCATGTTGGTGGGTCCTGTCATTCACTTCAGCTCTTCAGTGGATGAGGGGGTCGTCTCACTGGTTTTAAAAAAAAAAAAAAAAAAAGTAGGGGGGAATTATGATGGTTATTTGAAACAAACTGAAGTCAAAGATGATTTTAGGTCAGGCCTGTGTGTTTTCAGGGTGATTAACCTTTACAGTGGAGCTGAATATGTCTTGGTTTCTGTAGTGATGGAGAAATAGCTTTTCTTCAGTTGTGCTTTTCTATTTATCCATTTCTATTTTTATACAAATCATCGTAAGTTTAAGACATGGGGATGGAGCATGTTAGTGCAGCAACAGCTGTTGCTTTTTGTAGCCTTTTTGTTTTGTTTGCACTTGTCTTCAAATAACTTCTGAATGTAACAGCGAACATGAAATGAACAATGACAGAAATGTGGGTGTTTTTATACCTCTCAGGGCAGTGATTTATCATGGAATTTTAAGGCTACTGCTTGGGAATAACTTCACTATAGCTGGTACAGTTAGTGTGGTGAAAATCCTTTGTAGATTAAGAGAATGGGGTACAAGGTTAGGTGTGTGTTTAAGCTATAAGCTATAAACTAGACTATACTTCTTTAGTACAACATCGTCTGATTTTCTTTTCTCTGCCCTGTCTCCTGATAACGTTCCTCCCTTGTGCACTATGGAGATCAGTAAGCGAAATGACTGACTAGGCTGAAATCTAACAATGCAAGATGGGCAGTCTGGGTCACACAGCTGTGCCTGTGACAGCTCAGCTGCAGCAAAAGGGTGCAGGCGAAGTTGCAAAGCAAGAGAGTTCTTCCGATGAGTACACCCTTAGATAAAAATCTGTCCTTTGTGTTCCTTCGTCTCTGCTGTTAGTCTGAAATACTGTTTTCACATAAAATACAGTGGCTCTGAACAGGATGGTCAAAATATCTTTTGCTTTAAAGAAGAATGCATTAAGCCCTTAACTGCAGGTAGTAGAATTAAGAGATTTGAAATCTAGTCTGCTAAATAGTCTGTTAATAGTGAACAGATTTTCCTCTCATATTGCTAAAATAAATTTCCTTTTTTCTTCCCCCCACTGACTGCTACAAGTGTGAACAGCCAAACACTAAAAATAAATGTAATTTAAGCTATTGGTAAGTTTGTTTGGTCTCAGAGCCTGATGACTGAAAACATCTAGGTGATCTGTTTGGTTTTTTGTTCTTTATTTAGGACTGTTTCTAATCTTACACCTTTGTCAAAACTGTTCTTCAGCTGGTAGTAGCTCATTTAGGTGATGCTGTACCATAAGCACCCTTTAGAAATTTAAGAGCAGGGAATGTCAAAACTGATACTAAATTTCAGATGTCACAGTAATAAATGGCTTAACACTTACGCCAGTCTGTGTCCAGCCTAATTTATGTTAGTTGGCTCTTGGAAGGGGAGGTGGGGAGTCTTCAAAAATGTATGAAGACTTGATTCTTTTTTCATAACATCCAACTGAACAATGGTCTAACATACCCATTTAAAAACCAAATAGAGAGTTAAACCTCTAGCAGTGGTATGTTGTATTCTCCTAACCTATAACTTTATCATTTAAATGCTAAATAAGTTGAAGAGTTTAACGTCCTCATCCAATTCCTTTTCTCTTGACAATCTAGAAGCTACCTTTTGAAATGCCTGAAGCTACCTCCCTGCTGAAACAGAGAAGTAGAAAGTACTCTTTTACTTGTGGGTGCAGAAGTAACAAAGCTGATTTTATTTTGAAACTAAGAAATTCTAACCTAAAAAGAGTAGTAGAAGCTCCTGAGAGTGGCTGTATTTGGAGAGGCTCCAATTCTGCTGGAGCCAGAGGTCTCCTGCCTCACCTGCCTGCTGTCACTGCAAGCCTAGACAGTGGGAGAGCCATCCCCTCTGATACAGACTATGTGCTGCAGAGCAAGCGGGAGCATTTGTGATTACCTCACTGCTGCTGCCACCACCTTAATTTGGGGAAGATTCAGGAAGGGAATGACCAGGTACTACTGCTGAAAGAAATGTAGCTCATAAGGCCTGTGAGGATAGACCAGTTCTGAAATAATAAAGGCAATATTTTATTTTGGTCTGAAACAAATGAATGGTTGTAGAAGACAGAGCTATTTTTGAGTGAAATGGCTCGAATGGTCCACTTCTGTATTTGGGATTTGAAACAAAAGAACCCCCAACAAATCACAATCAATCAGGTGCTGTTCCAAACAGCTACTCTTTCCAGATAAGTAGGAAAGCTGTGTATTGCCTTGTTTGCTTCTGTATACTTTGAGGGTATCTACAGCCCTGACAGTGATAGTTCTTTCACAGACACAAAAAGGATTATTGCAGCAATATCACAAGGAGGGCAAAACAAAGGGAGGAGGATGTCACCTTAAGAGTGCTTTGTACTAACTTCAGAGCCTGGATGCAGTGGATGTGTAGCTTGACACTTTGGTGTGGCCAGACACAACAGGATAAGCTTCCAGACCTAGGATTAATAGTCAAGCCTGAGGACGTGAGTCTGGCAGACATTAAATCCAAAGCGGCTACCAGGAGCTCAAGTGTTACAGCAAGGATGAGGGAGAAGTCATCTCTGAGCCATGCCTCTGCTAGTGGGCCAGAGCACCTGGGTGCTGATGGTGGTTAAACACAGGATGGGTGCTCGGAGGGGCAGCAGGACCTTCATCCACCTGGATACTCGCATCTACTCCACAAGGGTGGGAACAACTTGGTCAAGCTTTGCCCCAAGCACAGCCAACTTCAGCAGGTTGGACCAAGCCCTCCCTCGTGAAGTAAACTACTTGATTCATGGGAACTTCAGACAGTAGTAACCCTCTTGTACTAGGAATGAGCATAACCCCCAAAAATCCTGATAAGGAAATAACTATCCTAGAGATAAATATGCAAATCTTATTAGTAACAGCAATATGGATGCTGAACTAATTCCAGCTGAACTTGAACATGTGAATAAATGTATTTAGCACCTTTAAGGTGAGTAACTACTGGCAAGAACAGTTGAAATACCAAATTCAGGCAGTGATGACTTTGTTTTCCCTCTCAAACTTTCACAGCAGGCTTGACAATTTACTGAATCTTTTGCTGTACTACTCTAGGCTGTGTTCAGAAGCTGCTCATCCAAGTTGCCACACTTGACTGAACTTCTCTTAGTTGTAACTAAGAAATGCTGCAGGAAAATAGACTGCAATACAGAGTAGAGATCACACCACTCACATGTACTGATGGGCTTGAATTATGCATTTCCAGCTGCTTGGGGGTTCAGAATTAATCTCACCTAGCACTAAGGATTACAGCGCTAACTGGGGAAGCAGGAGCCTTCAGCTATTCCAGCACCCCTGTTCTCCTGCACCATGAACTCGGCAGAAAAGGAAAGCAGCTGAGGCAGCCTTCCAGGGAGAAGCCTTTAATTTAGCGTTCCCCTCAGCCCCCTTACCCTTCTCCATCTTCCCCCATAACTGGGCAAGTATTTTCACCTCCAAGAAATTATGCAAGAACTAGGCACCACTGCCTCTGGCTGTTACCTGAAAGCAGCTAAAGGTTGACCACGTTAATCTGTTACTTCCTGGGCACTGCCACTAATGTCCACACATCCTCCCTCTTTGCTTTTGCCTTAAGCAAACACTAACTCACATTGGTTCTGCCATAAGGGCAATTTCAAAGCAGTTGTTTGGTTTATGTTACATTTCTAAGCTACTAAAAGTAATTAAGCATTCACAGTTCCATGAAAAAGATGCCTAGAACAGTGTCAAAATAGCCTCAGAGAGAGATCGGGCATGTCCTACTGGGTCTCTCATCAGTAACTCTGGTCTGCATGATGTTTGTACAGCTGCTTACAGAAAAACCTCCACCACATAGTACAGGAAACTACTGTAGTCAATCACTTTCTTGATATTTAAAGTGTGCATGTGCATTTAACAGTTCTGTTATCTAGCTGGGTGGTAACTCCACCTGGCTCTGTTGGGGAGCCATCAGCACATCTACAAGTGTAGCATTATGTGCTTAAAAATTGACGCTAAATGTCACATTCAAGAAATTTCTAGGGATAAAGTTTGAATCAAATAGGACCTCTGTGAAAGAAAAATACCTTGGTGCAATGTACTGGACAAAATTTGGAGTCCTGTAATTGGGTTCACGTGTTAACAGTCGCTCTATGCCTTCACCTTTGGCAAATGCGTTCTCTCCCCGTCCCTGGCACCTCCACACTAAATCACCTCAGCAAACTGACCTCTGCAACTTCCCTCTCTCCCCTGCCTCAGCAACTCCCAGGTCAACATGTTGGATAGTCGCCCACGCTTCAGCTCGCACGATCTGAACCTTGGGACGGCTGTTCCCTGAGCAGCTCTCCGCGCTGCTCTGCTCGAGACTGACCAAGGAGTGCACTGTCAGTCCCCTGGTTGCCCCTCTCCCATGGGATACGGGCAACCAAACTAATAAATCCCAAGTCCCTTATTTTCCCACCGCTTGGCAATGAGGTTGAACTACATTATTATCTCCTGCCTAGGGCTTATTTTAAGTTCTTTTTTGGTGTTTCTAAAAGTTAATGCTAAATTCTTCAAGTAGTTCTCTTCCTAAAATGATACTTGCACTTCAGCTGCAACTACTGAGCCTAGCTCTCCTGTTCTCAGCACCACTGCAACCTGAAGAGGAAAAAAAAATTACCTGTCATAGAAAAATGCTTTTCTGGGACACAGGTTACACTACTAAATACTAGATTTACAACTCCTTTCCATTATGAACTTGGAAATTAAAAAAAACTTCTACAAATCAGCAGCATTTCCTATGATTCTGTCAAACTGGAACTCTATCTCAGTCCACAACGTCCCAATGAGCTGTGACTCTCATATGAACTTAATACTGTGCAGGGGCCTCTCCTGCTCTTGCCTTCAGGACCCTTACAGACAGCACAATTCCAGAAAAGGTGACAGAAATTAAAGGGGAGTAGCAAAATAACACCTCTCACTTGACATGGCATCTAAGATGGATGCTGGGAGCCTCTGCAAACACATTTGGTCGCTGAATTACTGCGTCTCCTCTGAGAGCAGCCGAGTTGACA